GAAAAAAAAAAAAAAAAAAAAAGCTCTTGTCCTCCAAGCTAGATGGAATCTGCAGCTGTGATGCAACAACAGAATGATAAATCCTGAGTAAGGATGGAAAACGGCATTAGCTGAATCCTGCCAGGAAATAAAAAGTGTGCTGATGTAAACTTTTTAGAAGACATTTTTTTTTTCCCATTAGATGTAACGCAGAAAATAAACAGTATTCACTTTAAAGAGCTGGATGAATATTCTTTGCAATCTGCTTCTTAAAAATACATTTGTTTTCAAAGGCCTACCACAGAGGGATCAGATTCAGACTCTGTCTGTGCACGTGTACATCTTATTTATGCCAGCTCTGAATTGAAACCTTCACCTAGAAATATGGAAAGTATATCATCTTTGGGATAGTGGGGGTGATTTCTGTGCAAAACGTATCTTTATGCTTCCACCTTCACATGAGACTGTGTTCTGCAGTACGAAAGCTTGCAATTCATAGCTGCCTTTTTGCTGATAGCCCCCAAAGACCCTCAGAGAATGCCTCATAACTTGGCAGGAGCTACTGCCTTACTGGCAAAAAGTACCACAGACTCCTTAAGTTTCATGCAAGATCCCCAGCTGCAGTTTTAATTTTAATTTAATTTAATTGTGCCAAAGAATCTAAAGTCAAATCAAAATAACTGCTTTCTAATTAGTTAAAAAAAATCAGAAAATCACAATGCCATATATTAAACCATCGATTGTATGGACACTTTAAGATGTATACGCACCACTTGTACATCTGAGGGAACTCTGGACAGAAAATCAAGTAGCTCGTTGTTATCAATTGCATACGGACTTCGAAGCTTCTTTGTAAATTTATTGATGCCTGCAAAAGTGAGAGTTCAAATGTTACTGTGATCATCTTACTAAATGTGTATTTTTAGTGAAGTTCTGAGAATTTTGAGGGAGATCCATTTCTAAGTCTGATATTAGCATTGAATTAATGGATGAGTGAACTGTCAGCCCAGTCTCTAAAAGTCACACTCTGCTGGGGTGCTTTGCTTCAAAATGCAAACATTCTAGTGACATATTCAAACTCCTCTAATAGCATTTTTAAGACACATTTGGACTACATCTAAAAAAAGTTCTTTTTCTTTTTTTTTTTTTTCCTGAAAACAAGCACTGGCTCCTTAAGTCTTTAAACATGCAGAGGTTACAAACAGGAAAGGAAGTATGTGTCCTCCATCTCTGTCTGTGGTGGATAGGGCAGGTAATAATAGGTTTAGTTGTGGGGTGGAAGATTTAGGTTAGACACCGGGAGAATTTTTCTAATGCTAAAGAAGCATTTGGAACATTGTGCAGTCTGTGAAGGTTTAAGAAAAGATTATACAAACCTCTGTCAGGGAACGACAGATACAGATGATCCGAGCAGAGAAGGGTTGAGATACCTTCTTTAGACATGATAGTCTTAAAATTAAATTTAAAAGTGTTTAAAAACACCAAGAAAAGCCCACTCCTTTCAAATTAAGCTCAAATGGAATTTTAAAATTATACTTGTTTTCATTTCATTACATGCAGATTCATCACACACAAAATCTAATGCGTGCAGCAAGGGAACACAGGTCTAAAACGTGACCAGGAATGATACAGATCACTCAGATTCTCACAAGAATGGGAGAAAGCAGCGTAGCCTTTGAAAATCTGTAGTTGCTGCTCCGTGTTATTTATCAAGGCTGTGTCAGAGATGAGATAATTCTGTCTTTGGCATCTAGGCCTTTCAGAAAGTTATAGAAAGGACATGAAATCTTGACAACATCTCCAGTCTCCCAAGGAATGAGTTTCAGCTCTTTTGTGAGGATAGGAGGTAGCTACAATCCTTTTATCCAACGATAAAAACTATGAGTTTCAATAAACAACATTTGAGAGCCAAACAACCTTGTTCAAGAAGATTCTTTATATCATCAAGTCACCAAGAAACACAATGTCCACCACTCAGTCTACTGAACACGGCCACCACACCAACCATTGATGATGTGAAGAACTGCTATGGTCTCAACCTTATCCCTTCCTCCTCATAAAGGGAACCAGTTACCACATGGAAAATAAAGGTAGGAATAAATCTAGGTCAGGGCTCAAGAAAAGAGAGCAGCAAAACTGATGAGAGGCTACAGGGGAAGTAAAAGATGACGAGGGATTTAGGTCTTTTCTAAAAGCTTGATGTTTTTCTGATTAAAACTGTTCTCTCCATACTGCTTTCTACGTATAGCTGTAGAAGCTACCTGGACTCTACACCACTGCAAATGACATTAGAGTGCAGAGTTTTTTCCTACTCCACTGTGACCAATGCAGCTCAAGGACCAATTGTCTGCCAAGGGAGAAACAGAGGTGGAAGGGAAAGAAACGAGAGTCTGCTGCAAAAGCAGACTGCGAGAGGCCGTCCCTATGGATGTACAGAGACAGACAGCTATACATAAGCCCAGCCATAGCACGGAGGAATTTTCATAAAAAAACATCTGCCTTCCCAAAGAGCTAAATGGGCAGACACAGCTAGAGAACAGCTTGAAGTTTCCTACGGATGGAAGTCAAACAACAGAGATCATTTGCTTTCACATGCAGGATACGTGAACAGGATGAAGAAATGAATATACACCAGGGAGGCTCTAGTAATGTAAAATAATGGAGAAAACAGGTATGTATGTGCTTGGAATACTACATTTTCAGGGCAGTTTCCTCGATTGAAGGGAGAGTGGCTCAAACCAACACAAAGCATTGGAGTGCTCTGTGTTAATGCACTTCATACCTACGGAGGTTTGGATTCCAGTGGTGGTGGATCCTCACCTAGGCTGCTATGTGTCTCGCCTCATAACACAACATGGAAGGAAGAACAAGTATCTAAAGAAAGGATCCCTAGACACTAGATGAGCAGAAGTTATCTAAACTGAAGTGCAGGAGAAGAACGTGTGGATGGATCCTCTTATGAACAAAGGCACTTAAAGTCATGTCAATGAATAGCTAGGTAGCTTGCGAAGTGAAATACAACAGAAAGCACACACGAGAGAGAGCATGGGCATGAGCACCTGTGCATCAAAAATTGTGCTTCAAGCAAAACTGTTCAATGTTTCAATCAAAATTCAGCAAAATAGTGACTATGCCATTCACTCATGATCGGGGAGGTGCGGGCTAGAGTTTAGGAGTCCAGGCTCTGCCCTACCTGAAAGAGAGACCTAAATGTACTCTTTTTTTGGTGGGGGGAAGTCTAATACATCCCAGGGTACTGCAGGGCTGAGTGTCTTTTAATATAACCTGACAACCAACAGTGCTGATTCTACAGTTTTAGGGGTCTTGGAAAGGTATTATAAGCTCAAGTTCTTGCATGAAATCAATATGTATGAAGCCAAGAGTCCAAGATGCCAACTCTGTGCAAAAAAAAAACACTAGGAAAAGGACATGGACCAAGTAGGTTCAGTAAAACAAAACGCCAACCATGTCGTATATGCGAAGAAGAATGCAATTTTGGTAGCAATCTAAGAGGTTGTGTTGCACCCAAGGGATAAAGGTTATGTGGCAAATAAATGAGACAAGAAAAGTCAGTAAGCCCATACATCTGCTTCTTTAGTTCTATTGATTTCCCCTTTTGGCCAAATTCTCCTTATTCTTTCCTCATTTTGTATATTGTGTTACATTTATTTGCGAAGATTCTGTAAGAGTATTACTAATGCTGAGTTATATCTGAAAAACACATTGTCCAGTGTCAGTTCAATGAATTCAGGTTGTCTCTCACACTCAAAGGTTTTTCAAAGAAATGATTGTTATTCTTGTCTTCAGAAAGAAAATGTAGCCACAGATTTAACTGAGACAGTTCTCTTCACAGGTTTATGCTGCTGCATAAGGGTACAGCTGCTAGTGATGTAGAACTGTATTAAAAATGAACAAATGAAAACTCAGAGCATTATTTACAACAGATGTGCTAACAGTAGCTGTTTAAAATCACTGTAAAAAAAATAAGAATAGCTGGTAAGAACTTAGCTCAGTCACAACACAAACACCCCTCCACCACTGCCTACCCCAGCTCCCCCAGTTTCTGCTTGTTATCAACTGGCCAAATACCACATATTCCTTTCTGTCAGACTAAAGGTGACCCTTTAAACAGCTTTCTTGCTGTTATGTTTACATACACTTTCAAAAGATAAAGTAGTGCAGTAAAAAAGGCATATTGTCCTAAATACACTGTATAGATTGAAATGCTTCTGTTTGTGTATAAGTGGTGAGAATAAATCAGAGTAATATCTAGACAAAGCAACACTTTGATATATGAAGAATCCTCATGGCTCCATGTTTATAGTATGATGAAGTCTAGAGTGCCAGCCGAGAAAAATGCATTTTACAGGTGGGCTTAAATCTTTACACAGTTGCGATTTTTAACTAACCTGTCTGTTTCCATCATGGAGGAGCTTCATGACCATAAATACAGCAAACTACTGACAATATAACTCATCCATTAAAAAACATTTCTTTCCTAAGTGGCACAGACGGTTAAAAAAGACTTTACTTACCCCAGACAAGGACAATGTATCTCAGTGGAATGAAATAGAGGATGATTGTGAACACGGAGAGGGCAACAATTGCCAGCCAGCTTAAGAAGGGGACAGTCCAGTTGAACGTACTAAGTGAGAAATTAATAGAATTCAGGACACTATTCACCCAAACGAATCAATAACAGTTCCAACAAAGAGATAATAAAAGCAAAATACCAGGCAGGCAGCTGCAGCTCTGCAAAGGGTGCAACTGCCAGTCTTTACCGGGGTGAGCCAACTGAGATCCTGCATGAATCCAGGGATTCGGAATACCCGGGAGAACTGGGGCTTGAATGCATTCCCAGGGGAGAATGGGAACAGGTCTCCGCTTCACCCACTGCCTGGCACCTCTCCCCAGGCCAGCTGTGCAGATCCACCATGGGAAGCACCACTTGGCATCTCGGGTGTTTCAGCGCCTCCCCACGATTCCAGTGTCAGCCAAAACACACACACTTCCTTTCTCTCCAGATTTACCCGCACAGGCAACCCAGATCCCTGCCTTCAAACCATTCTTCCAGGCAGGTAGAGGTGGGATGTTGTGGTTAGAGGAGGCCTTCCAAGTGTTTGTTTGATATCCTCCCTGCTCTTTCTGCAGCACAGAGCAAGCAGCTAAGGCTGAACAGAGACTTTCCTTTGGGCTTGGCACTCCCCACCAAGAAAGCAGTGCGAAAACATTGCTAATAATCTGTGATTCTAATAAGGGTTCCAAAATCAGCAGTGTGATAAAAATCTGCTGATCACCTCCTTTTGCGAAGGTTGAATATGTGCAAAGAGGAAGGGCAAGCTAACGGGTCACGCAGCAGCTGCACTGTGGTCCCCCAACCTCTGCATGCAGCACAGAGGAGGAGGACAGATGGGCAGTTTCTGTACATCCCACGGGAACTCTGGTGAAAGGCAGCTTGGCTAAATGGGATTACTCCATAAAGGCACTACCGTGCCAGAGGTGGTGCGTGTCACTTATCCAGACGGAAAATGTGTGTTTGGCTTTAGATAACTTATTGATACCTTTAATGGTTTTACCATTTACTATGTACCCAATCACACTGGCTAAACAACTTAGACTTCTCTAGCAGAATAATTGCAATTATCTGAACTGCTGGCCCTATTTTTCATAACGAGCTCTGGCTTCCTGTATTTATTTGCCTTTTTTTTTTTTTCCCCTCCTCGCTGGCAATTTTGACAGGCCTCCAGAGCGAACATTATGTCAGTGTCACTTGGTGCAGGATCACTCCCTTTCTGCGCAGGGGACACCTGCTCTTTTCCCTTCCTCGGCGTGCATTTGGGCTGAACAGAAGGTTGCGGGTCTGCTCGTGTTCCTGGGACTCGGCTCTGTGCAATGGCTCACAGACACGCCATGTGTGGGAACACTGGCTCCTCGCTCAGCAACCCTCCTTCTGTGCAGTGCTAGCACAGCACTCGCTACAGGTTTCCCATTATAGCTGCAGGAACAAATTAGAGATTTATAGGAAGGCTCAAGTCACACTTTGTTTCAAAATCATATCACTCTTAACTTGCACATAATAGAACAAACTCTACTGTCAAAAGGCACAATTAAGGGAGCTTAAGCATCAAGACAACTTTCCTGAACAGCCTGTTGCTAAAAGGCTTGGTGCACAGGCAGCACCAGCATCTCACTTGCTTGGAAGGCTCATAACACACTGCGCCTGCCTCTGCTGCTGTGGATGATGTCTGCTTGGAAGGGTCCCCTTGGAAAGGATTTCCTGTTAGGGCTTCTACCCTTAGATGCCTAAATGGCAACTTTCTCTTTACCCTGATACTCATGTGCTTCCCACTGCTGATAGATTCCAAACAAAAAACAATCACAAAGGGCTGAAAGATTATCCTCATATTTCCTGTGCATCGACACGCATTAAGGCATCAATTTCTTAAAATTCACTTCCAAAGGGAAACACTTATTTTGGGGCCCTACTGTTGGCGCAGCCTGCAAACCCATAAATATGGAACACCACCACCTCCCTGTAGGTAGCATGGGACAGTGGAGAAGAGCCAGCCGTCCTCTGTGTACTGCTAGGAGCTGAAGCAAGCGGGACCACGCTGCTTTAGCCTCCCTTCCAGGCTGGCCGAGTGCCTCCAAAGCAGCTTCACAGCAAAGGCCCTTCTTGCTCAGCACGGCTCCCGGGTCACCTTCCTGCCGCGGAGCAGAGGAGGCTGCGGAGCCACTGCTCCCCGCTTCCCTCGTCTGGAGAGGCTTTGCGCTCGCCTCTCGGGCGGCTGAAAGCCAAGCAAATCCTGTCCCCGCTTCCCACGTGAGAGAATCTCTCTGGAACCTTTCTGATCTCCAATGACAAACTGTGAATTCCTGACCACGCCAAAAATACACCTAACTTCCTGCCCCAGGCCTCAGAGAGGCTTCCTCAGATATTCTGTAACCTCTCTTGCTAAAGCTTTGCTTGTTTTGTTCTTTGGTAGTTCATATATACCATGTAGTAGGCATTATATATTATATAGAATCTATGAGGAAATGTTAACTTACCTAAACAAAATGTTTCTAGCACCAGAACACACATATACCCTTAAAATCTGAAACCCCTGTACAACTCTGCTTATTTCCTTTACCCAAACTTTCCATTTTTTATCGTTACTTTTAAATAATTACAGCCATGCCTCATAAATTTGTTGTCTTTTCTACTTTAAAGCCTCAGTTCTGACTTTTCTCTCTCAGATTGCTGTATTTCTAAATTCCAAAATTAACGTGACAGGATTTTCACAAAACTCAGACTGCATAAGGAAAGTTAATAATGACGAGTCTTAGCACTGAATCATCCAAAATTGGACTCCCTTGCCAAAAAATAAGTCATCTAACACTTTGCACCTCAGCTTGGAAAAAATATGAGCAGGATCAGAAGAAAGCTAACCAGCACCAGCGTGTCAGCACTTACTTCTTTATCCTTTCTCCAAAGGAAGCCACTTCATCAAGGACATTCTGGACACTGACACATACCTCCTGGATAGCATAAAGTTTGTTCATAAATCCTTTCTTCTCACTGTCCTGAAGAAAAAGAATAGGGGTAACTGCATTTAAAAAACTGATCATAGCAAATGTATTGCTATGCATCTAGCTGTTAAGTTTCAAAACTGCACATTACAGATGCATCTAAAAGTTGTTAAGAAGAACTGGTATTTAGAAATTATTTTTCTTGTCCTTGAAATAGTATATATGGATAATAAATAGAGCTTAGCATATATATTTAGCACCACACGTTATTTGTCACTGCATTCGTTTCTAAATACGTATTTCCAGAATTCAGCTGCCTGGCTTACAACCACGCTGAAGGTGCCAAGTGCATTGTGCACGCTCCCAGGTGATGAGTCAAAAGATCCAAGGAGAGCCATTTTTCAGGATGCCCTTTCTTGAGCAGAGGTAGGTACCGAGAAGATAAATGCACCCCTAGAAGCGCTGGGAGTAAGAAACCAGAACGGCTTTGGCTCCTATGGGCAAGATGCCCTTTGCTTGCTGTGCCTCTGCTCGAGATTTCCACCTCCCTTACTCTGGTGGGTCCAAGGTTAGGACGAAACAGGACAGAACTGCAGTCATCTTGGCGTGATAACAAGGTCTCCTGCTCTTCTGCTTGACCTAGATTATTAACCATTATTATTAAGTTAAGGGAGAATGGCGCTTAGCTGTTGGTATTACACCTATTTCATCACATTACTTTATCTGTTGTTTTAGGCACCCGTGATGCACAGAGGACCACAGCAGGCCACCCCGTGTGCACCCAGGGCCCGGGAGGTGGCACTCGCCCCAGGCAAGGCCACGCGCATAGCCCAGCTGCAGGCAAGCTTCAAATATGTGGTTAAGCTGTCAGACACAGCCATGCCCTCTATAATCATCCTATTCTCCCGTTTGCTGGGCCAGCGAGCACGTCCTCCCTCTCGCCCTCTCCTCTCCTCCTCATCAATATTCCCGGGCAGGACGCACCGGAGGCACGTGAGTCGCAGCTCCAGCTTTGTTACACCACGCTTAGTGCGGCCTGCTGCTCTCCAAGCTCTTAAACACCAGCCGCGGAAGGACCCGGAGATGCAGGGGAGGTGGCATCACACAAAGGCATTGCACTAGCTCCTTATTTACCACCTTATTTACCTTTTTTACCTTATCTACATTGCACTAGGTTCTTATTTACCACTGTAAATTGCCACTGTGCCACTGGACTTGTAGCGCCAAAGCCATCAATTTATAGCCATGTAAAAGTCTAGCCATAATTACATTTTTGTAATTTTTTTTGTATCAGGACACTTCGTTTAATTTACAGAAGCGCTTTTCCGAAACAGGAATAACCCTCATATAGATCTTTTCAGGGGTCTTTGATGGATTGGCTACGATTCCATTTTTCTCCTCTTTTCTGCCAGCTCCAGCTGACTTGGCCTCCTGGAAGAAGAGGCCATCTGAGGAACGGGGGAAACCAACCCAACTAACCAACCAACCCCGGCCAAGGACACCTACACCCTGCACGCACCAGTCCTGCCCTGCGCCCAGTCCCACTCTTGACAGGCTACTCCCCTTTCCCCAAAGCTTTCCATTAGTCTCCTGCTCGGTTAGCCAGTAGCATCAAAACAAGCAGAGCCAACAGTGCTCTCAAAGCAGCAGCACGTTGGGCAGGCTTGAAATGAGGCAGGCCCACAGACAAAAATGACAATTTCTCTCAGTTTTCCTCAGATTACATGCAAGACGGAAGATTATACTCAACATTTCCAAAGGAGTGGTGCTATGTTATACTGCCTAGTTTGATTTTGGTTGCTGTTTTCTCAATATTAGAAACAGAAAAATAATCCATGATTAACAAAGCATGGCAAACCATTTGATAAAACACAGAATGTTTCGTGTTTTGCTATTAGAAAAGATAAGTTTCAATAGTCTCTGTAATAGACCTAAAAAGGTGACTTGTTGCCCTTCATTCCACTTTTTTTTTTGTCCTGATGTTTAATACTTAATTATCCAACAGAATATTGGTTCACATATTTTATTGTCACTTTTGCTTTCTTTATAAACCAGCTTGAGTGAGGAAATTACGATTTAATCATCCAAAGGTATTCTAGTGATACTGGTTCTGCAAGAGTATTGTCAAGATTCCTTCTGAAGACGTTAAAAGCATTTAGCTGCTAGAAAAGACAGATTGGCTATAAATACACAATTGACAGAGGAAAGAGAGAGAGAGAAAAACTATTTCCAGCAAAACTCAGTGTAATTTTAAAAACCAAGCACTTCAGAGAGAGCAAAACATTTACAGTTTCTCTGGGAAGATAAAAGGTCTTATGTTCTCAGCTAAGATTAATAATTACTTATATCTCCCAATAATGTTTCTCTAGAAGACCTTAACCACAGCCATTGAAGCCAACTATATCCAATGTTGTTGGGCATCACCGAGTCACTTATGAAGTTATTTCTTAATATTTATTTCATTCTTGAAGCCTTGGCAATGATAACATTATCATCCTACAGAATGCAGCTTCTTAGGTGGCAGTGCACACATCCAATGTGTTTCATTTTTATTTAAGTATTCATACCAGAACAAAATCATCAAGAAAGAGAGGCTGGCTCTTCCGCTGAGGTAAAACATATACATCCAGTACTGGGCAAACATAAAAATTTTCTGCTTTTTAATATATTAGTAGAGAGCTATGGTAAGGCACACAGAAATTGCAGATTTCTTTTGCTTTTGCAGTACATGCAATTTTCATCTCTTCAGCTTAGATTCATACATCTGCCGTCCCTGTAAGCTACCTTGATTTATAATTAAATTGTGTGAGAAAAGAATTATATCGATGTAACAAAAACAGTACCCTTTGCCACATCTCCAGAACTCAACAGGGATTACTTTAAGAGGTTCTGAGGCTATTTTTCTTTACAAATATTTTACAAGACAAACTTGTACCTTTTTTTTTGAAACTACATCTGTTTTAAATCATTCTTAAAAAAAAAAAGAGAGAGAAAAGAGAAAGAGACAGAATCATTATTTCCAGCCCCCCCCGCACCTTCTAAGCTTAAATAAATTTGTTGACATATTCTGAAGCAGGCATAGACAAAACAGCACAGGAAAGAGGAGGCGGTCAGAAGGATCAGGGTTCGGCTTTGCTTAAACTAATTCCACATGCCCCACAAGCCATTAGCTGTTTTTTATTTCCTGCTCCAAAGATTTGTGCAGAAAATAATCTGGGCTAGGGAAAAGCTCCCCTTATTTTCTTCCAGCAAGATGCTGTGTTAGCAAATACAACATATGAGCCACCTTGAGTGAACCGAGGTTCTTAATAATCCATTTTTCAAGCACTACCGGTATTTCCTTTCCAAAGAAAGACGGGCTGTGACTGGAATCAATTTCATCATTTGTACAGCTACAATTGCCAAGCTTCTGGAAATAATTGCCCTTTAAATACGAGATAAAATTTATTGTACAAAGCTAACAACAGTTTTATTACTATTTAATTTCCATGATTTGTTTGTTTGCAGGAGGCTTAAGGTATCTGAGAAGCAAGATGTTTGCTAGGGGGTGACTGTAAGCATCAGCTGCAAAAGCAATGTCAAATTGATGCTGGTAGTCTGACTTACAAAAGGGACTGAGCCCAAGGTAAAGACTGAGAGCGTCTCCTCCTTTGAAAACTGGAGACCAAATTTTGATACATTGCTTGGCCAAGAATAATATTTAACTATTGTATACAGGTTTGCAGCCATAACTATATTTTACATTTGGGGAAACCAAGGCAAAAATAAAATAAATGCCCTTAGACTGTGTGGCTCTAGTTCAAAGGAAAACCTGAATACAACCCATAATGTCTCTTTATTAAGTGAATTATGCCTGGGATTCCATAATAAAACAGGGCAAGGAGGAATCAAAAGAAATAAATAGGCCAGATTCAAAAGTAAATTTTGCTATAGTTACTGGAACTAGACCAGTGAAAAGAAAAGAGCTTTAAACAAAAGGTAACACTTTTTTAGTACAGAAAACACAGCTCCAAAAAGCTTGTGGTAAGTAACTGCCCTATTAATAACTAGCAACATGGAGATAAAGACACAAATCAAAAAAAAAAAAAATCATAGAAGGGTTTTGCCAAGAATAGGAGTAATTTTTGAGTTTTAGGAGATGATGTCTGGGAAAGACAGAGACTCCATATGGATCTTCCAAAAATACCCTTCCTCTCCCAAGCACGTATGATAGAGCACTTCTGTACAGGCAGAAGCGACTGAGCTAAGCCTGGCTAACTTGTGGCGGGCACAGAGACAGACTGGGTTCGCAGCCGTCACGGGCAGAGCACAAGACTTGTCACCAGGTCCGTGGTGAGGCCTGCGGCTCGGCCACCACAAAGACGTATGTGCTGCTCCCTCCTCAAGGCACACTGGGCTACCTGCAGCTGCAGGAAACCAGGCCCGTGGCCACCTGTGCGGAATCACTCCCTTATTTTTCCACAGCAAAGCCATAAATCTCTATTAGCTGAACAGAAGAAAACTTCAATGAGGAAATCATAGCGGATTACTTCAACTGATGTATTAAACTTGGTTCCTCCCGACCCAACATAGCAGCCCTTTTGTTACCAATTCTGGAGCCAACTGTTTCCTTGAGTGGAGAGTTTCCGGGTCCTTCTTTGGAGCACAGGCTTGGCGCAGAGCCGGAGCAGCCCTAGGGAAAGGGGCAGGGGCTTTCCCTGGACAGCCACACACCTTGGGAGACCTCTGCTCACTCGGAGCCGGGAGAAGCAGACCCAGAAGCGGCGGGAGGAAACGCATTAGCCCTTTCCTGGCAGGGATCGTTAACATCTCTCCGGGAGGGCAAGCAGCCAGCTCCTGTTAAATACCATCCTGGGCTCTGGCCACTGCTCAAAAACCTGTCACTGGGGATTAATGGCCTCACCAATTACCTCCGAGACTTTAACCTCCAATTTCTGGGAAGGTCACTGAGAGTAAGACAGTTCGCCAGCTCCACAGGCATTTCATCTCCTCCGGTCCTTCTGAAGCCCCATCAAAAGGCCTTCAGACCTGGTGATGGATATGCTGGTAACTCA